TAAAAACTTAAATACACCTAGAGAAATGAAGCATTACAATTATTACTGTATTTTGACAAAAACCTAAATATTTTAAAAACGGTAAGATTAAAATGCGGTAAACCTTAATCAAATTTACCTTCATTTTAATAGTAGTAGTAAAAATGTAATAATATACAGGGTGTTCCATTTAAAAAAAATACAACTTTGATATTTTTTATTAAGTTGGACACTCTCTTGTAAAAATATTTTTAAATTGTAGCTCTAATAGTCCTTCAACAAACCCAAAACTTATAATTTGCAAAAATCTAATCGTTTAGCTACAATACTCCGTGTCGTATGTGGTGGACAACCCTGTATAGTTTTTATAAAACCTAAAACAATAACTTTATATAACAAAACAAACATTTCTAACTCATTATTTTAGATGCATATGCATAAACTGAAATGGAATGACAACAAATCATAAGTTAGATCCGCTTAAACTACCCGTCCAACTAAAATGCCTCTAACACTTCCGCAAGCAAATTTTCCGAAGCTCCCAATCCAGTCGTGCCAACACAAACTTTAAACTAGTTTTGAAATTACGCTAAAACTATCTAATTATCGCATTATGCTTGTTTATAATCGGCTGAAATAAAAGGTTAACCACGTGTCAACAGCACATATGTATATTTATAATTAATTTTATGGACGAGTTTCTCTCTGCGAAGCAATTATTCGAAACATTTTATTATGAAATGTGAATCGTATGTCAACTAGTTATGAGTTTTAGACAGGAAATAGATATATTTGGCAGTAATATTTTTTCTATAATCAAAATTCTGTATTTGTTATGTAGAATGTAGAATGTTTAGGAGGGGAGTTAATCACTGCGACCACATACAGATCTATTGTGTGTTCCACTTTCTTGAGTTATAACGTGTTATGACTCATCATACAGTCTCAGAGCTTTAACCAAAACCAGTATCTGAGACGGCTCCACAGAAGCCAGATCTCTATCCTCGAGATCAGCCGTACCAAAGTTCATGGCACGAATGGTCGTCGTTTCGGCGCACTCAGTGATAAGGTGTACTGATGTTTCTCCATTTTCCCCACACCCCACAGAATCTGCATTCGCCGTTGTTTCTCAGCTTCAACCTACTGAAGTGTTCATTGAGGAGACAGTGTCCTGTTAGAAACCCCGTGACAATTCGAAGATTGTTTTTACTTAAATCAAGAAAAACCTTTGATTTTTCTCTGTCGTAAGTTCTGAGAAACTTTTTCGAGTGTCTTAGGCCGTTGGAGGACACCCATTCCAAGTTAACGATGGAGTCTTCCAGATTCTTCAGTTCCACTTTCAGTTGGTTCCCGTTTGGAAAACAGAACGGTTCTGGTCCAGTTAGTGGAGTGTTCGCTCCTTTTCTAGCTAGATCATTTGCTTTCTCATTGCCTTCTATCCCTTGGTGAGCAGGCACCCAGAGTAGGAGGACTTTATTTTCTTTGCTTAATTTGTTGAGCTTCTCTAGGCATTCTCTGACTAGGTACCTTCGAATTGATAGTTACTGAGTTGATCGCGTTTAGTGCTGCTTGGCTATCGGATAGGATGGCAATTTCCTGTTTTCGATAGTTCCCAATTTTTTGGTTTCGATTATTCCTAATTTTGAATTGTAGCAGTTATTTGATTTTTTTTGTGTTTTGTGCAAGGTGTCCCAAATTCGAGCTTCATTATTGAAATCTCGGAAAATGGAAGAGATAAGGTTGATCGACAGTTTTACAATTTGATCCTAATCAAATAGCATCTTGTAGAACGTAGAACATTTAGGAGGGGGTGATCACTACGACCTTACAGATCTATTGCGTGTTCCCCTTTCTTGAGTTATAACGAGTTATAACTTATTATACATTCTCGGGACTTTGACAAAATCCACTATCTCAGACGGCTCCACAGATGCCAGTTTTCAATCTCCGCCATCAACGTTTATGGCACGAATGGTTGTCGTCTCGGCGCACTCAGTGATAGGTGTTTCTCCATTTTCCCACAGAATCTGCATTTGTCGTTGTTTCTTAGCTTCAATCTACTGAGGTGTTCGTTGAGGCGACAGTCCTGTTTAAAATCTCGTGACAAACCGAATATTGTTCTTACTTAAGTCAAGGAAAATTTTTGATTTTTCTCGGTCGTATATTTTGAGAAATTTCTTTGATTGTCTTAGACCGTTGGAGGATTCCTATTACAGGTTACTAATGGAGTCTTCCAGGTTCTTGAGTTCCGCTTTAAGTTGGTTTCCAATTGGAAATTAGAACGGTTCTGGTCCAGTTAGTTTAGTGTTCGCTCCTTTTCTAGCTAGATCGTTTGCTTTTCATAGCTCTCTATCCCTTGGTGAGCTGGCACTCGGAGTAGGAGGACTTTATTTCCTTTACCTAATTTGTTCAGGCATTCTTTGGCCAACTTCGAAATTATAGTTATTGAGTTGATCGCTTTTAGTGCTGCTTGACTATCGGATAAGATGGTTATTATCTGGGGGAGGGGTAATATTCGGCCATAGTAAAAATTTTCTTATTATATGTTTTTGTTTTTTCCTTTACTTAATGGGTAAATCTGTAACATTTCTTTATTAGAAAAAATGCTCTTCTTCAAAAGCGAATTTCCCCAACAAAAATAATGCTATTGAGATAAACTAAAAAACAAACTATCGGGAAAAGGTGTACCTAGATTTTAAAATTCTTTGTTTTGTCAACATATTCTACAGAGTCTTTCAAATTTTCGCCAAAATATCAACATTTTGTTGACCCTCGTATAATTGACAGATGGGAACATTCATATTTTATTTAGAAAGAGGTACTAAAAATTCACCTAATTTAGCAATAAATTGCTTAAAAAATGCTAGTAGGCTGATCAAAATCAGCCTACTAGAACAAAATATATTGGAAATCAAAATTTTTAGGTGGCCATCGTTCATGACGGCAAGAGCAGTTACAAAGTGAAACGTATTTGAAAACGCCAAAGAATTAAAGAAATTGTCACTTTGAATGCCAAAATTGGAAAAAAAATACTTGACTTATTACTGCATCGTGTAAAATCCTTTGAATAAAAAAACTAAGAAAGGAGCATATCAAAAAACTTAGATCGGGCGCGATGGGGATCAAAAATGGCCGACTTAAATTCCGGTTTATCAGTGCCATATTAATTTTATTCAAAACATGTAAAAATATGATGTAGGATCCATAATTTGGTATTTTATTGTACGTTGTCAATAAATATTATATTAATATGGTAGTTATTAAAATAGTTATAAATAGTTATTTATGGTACTAGTGCGTTATCTTACATATAAGTCACGCTGGGAAATATTTAGCTGGCTAATTTTCTCAAGTAACTTATTTGTTATAACACGCGAGTGCCATACAAAATTTTATCCAACAGCAGAACTGTTTCATGTCCAAGCTCTAAAGAATAATTGATTTAACAGGATCTACTAGTTCTACTTTCTTTGTTGAGAATTAATAAATTATCAGGGTGTGTTTATGTTACTATGCAATATAGATGTGCATTTTTTTTTGTGAATAATAATTAGCACTGAAACTAAGATGTCATTTAGATAAATCGCGATATTTTAACGATAAAATAGTGAATTATCAACCAGCAGTTTACCACCAAGTTAGATTTTAAAGAAAAATGATGCAGGAAGATCTTCCGCAAGAACCCAACAAACATTTGAAGTTAAAATTACGTTAAATTAACCACCTTTTTTTTTGGAGGTGTAAAATACCTTTACGTACGGAGTGTGGGACTCAATCTCTCCTTAATCTGCCTGAAGGACACTACCAACTAAACACTAAACCACCCCCCTCGCTCCTGCCACGTCTACCTGGACCCGCTGGACGCATCTCCTCAAGTAGCCGCCGGACTGTTTCTTTTTTTTTTCATTACCCCTGCTCTTCGCTGTATTTTGCTTCTAGTATATTTTGGGCCAGTTTTGAGATGGCTTCAAAGTTTCCTCTTCTTTCTGTTACCGATTTTAAGAAGTTATCTGCGGAGATGTTGCCACCAATCGTCATGCGTGCCGCACATCTTTCCTGTTCCCATCTTGGACAAGCAAACATTGTGTGTTCTGGAGTATCATTGGGTTCAGCACAGTATCGGCATTCCGCGACTTCCCTCTTTCCAATTTTACACAGGTAACTCCCAAAATTCCGTGGCCACTCAATATTTGAGTAAGATAGAAGTTTACTTCTCCATGCTTTCTTTTAATCCACATATTTATATTAGGGATGAGCTTATATGTCCATCTTCCTTTTTTGATATTTCCCATTCTGCCTGCCACTGCTGCACTGTGCGGTTTCTCTCCATCTCTCTGCTTGCCCTGGTTTGTACTTCACCCTTGAGAAAGAGTCGTTCTCTTTCTCTTGAGAGAAGATGCAAGGGCACCAGACCCGATATCACCAAGGCTGCCTGTTGAAGTTGTCCGATACGCCGAACAGACCCTCAAAGCCATGACTCTCTGTGCACCTTCAAGTCTTTTTTTTTATTTACGTGCATATTGGTTGCTTCGTTCCACACAGGTGCTCCATACATAATAATATTCTGGCACGCATATGCTAACACTCTTCTCTTTGCTGGTGTTGGGCCTCGAACGTTTAGCAGTATTGCGGACAACGTTTTAGCAGTTCGTTGTGATTTCAGACACACCTCCTTGATGTGCAGGCCCATCGTGAGTGCACGGTCTATGTGGAATCCAAGATGGTTGACTTTCTTTACTGGATTTATTATAATATCCTTAAAATTAAACCTTATATGGTCAACTTTTCTCTTGCGCTTCAGTAAAATCGCCTCTGTTTTTTCCACGGCTATTTCGAGTCTGTGCTCACGCATCCATCTGGCTATGATCTTTAGTGTATCATCCACAGTCTGCATTAGGTCGAGGTCGTTTATTTTTTTGTTTCTTTTATTTTTTTTTGTTATTATCACAGCAAGATCATCGGCGTAACAGATCAACTCTGTCCCACCTGGTACAGTAAGCTCCATGGCACTGTCGTATAATATGTTCCACAGAGGTAAATTAATTAAATTAACCACCTGGACTATTACTGAGCAACTCGAAATTGGTTGAAATTTCCAAGAATTGACGTTAAAATTCCTAGGAGTAAGTGGGGAATAAAACTAAAGTAATTTGGAAGTTAAAAACAGGTTAACAGGTTATAATGTCTTGTATGAAATATGGGCTATGAAGTCAAAAATAACAGACCTGTGGTCCTAACATGGTAAAATAGAGGTAAATTTTACTAAAAATAGTCCTAATTTATACTAGGTACCTACATTTTAACATGGAAAAGAAAGGAAAAGGATAAGGTAAAGTATTTTTCTTTTTAATATGTGTATGTAAATGAATTTCCCAATAATGAACCAGGAAGACAAACAAGTCTAGTAAGAACTGGCATAGCCGTTTGAACATTAATCCAATATGGATGAAATACCTACATATTGCTCTTCCTAGTAAATGTAAATAAGTTATTGGTAAGAAGTGGATTACTGGATTCACAAGATAATTATATTTGCGGAGAAAATTTTTCTGTGAGATGTAAATATGATACTGTAGCGTTTTTTAAACAACTACCTATCGATAATCACAGAAATAAATTACAAGCAATTAATCAACAAAAACAAAATCAAAATGGTCAAGTTGTGACCACCCAGTATACTAAAATTATCAGTAAAATTATCAAAGTATGTAATCTCAACTAAGTATAAAGTTTAAAATTTATATGAAATTTCAAACACCTAGAGATATAAAAAAATCAAAGTCGAAAATTTAATGCTTGTCCACCCTGTATAGGGAAAATACAAACCAAAATGTCTGTAAATATAAAGTTTCAAACTTTATCAAATGTCAAACACCTTGAAATTTAAAAAATTTCAAAGTCACAAAAAAATATTGACTATCCTGTATAAGGAAGTCCCAGCAATAGATAAACTTTCAAGTTTATCTACCAAGAAAAAATTTTAAACAACTATTAAAAAAAAATTTAACCTCAAAGAAAATTCAGGTCCAAGCATTAAATCTTGACCGCCCTGTATACCAGGTTCAAAAATATATCAAAATATCAAAAATATCAAAAGACAAAGCTGACACATCTTCGTTATATGAAATTGTCCAAATTCCATAGACCCAAATAATAATAAATAGTAATATCAAAAATAAGAAAGAGAATAAAAATTTCAGTCCTAAATCGTACCAGGAAAACAACAACTGTTTCCTCCTCTGTATCATGCCAAAAAAAATTAAACTACAAAAATTAATTTAAGAAAATTAATCAGGAAAATTGTCAGACTCCAGTGAAATACATTACGAGTAAAAAATACAAAACAGACTAAATAATATAGAGTGTCGAATTAAGGGCTGTTTTTATTTTCTCGAGGCCCTACGCTTATGGGTGCCAAATTATGTGTAGCGTTTTTTAAACAACTACCACTGCGAACGGCAGCTTTTCATCGGAGAGCAGTCTTGGATAAGGTATTTCACTGGAAAGAAAACTAATTAATAACAATAAACAAAAAAATAGGTATTGGGCGCCAGGCATGTACAGAGAAAGAAAACACAGTTGTATATTACTTAAAACTAATGACTATATTTATTCATGATGAATTCTGATTGTAAATAGCATTGTACAATTTTAATAATTATTATAGTGGTTATTTGTTGAGTAAAATTATGTATGTAAATAATATTAAATATGTTCTATGAAAAGACTATGAAAAAATACAATGCGTGTAACGTTATAGAAAATATAAGAAAAGTAGCATTACTTTATTTAAATTATTAAATTTTATGCGGTGTCAAATCTGACGTGTTGCAACCTGTAGATTCTAGAATCTATGTCTCGTTATTCACCTGTTAATATAGCGCAATAATAATATCTATAGAAAGTAATACTATTACAAGGCGTAATATAATGAAACCTAAAATCTAAATCACATTGTAACTACTGAATCGACATAAATGTTCTTAATAATCTAACCACTAAATATAGTCTGTACGATATTATTTAAAATGTACGTTACTGTTGACTGAAAATATATTTTAGATGTTAAATGTAAAACTAGAACTTAAATATACACTTAGCTGTTCTTTTATGTAACCTTGCTTCAAACAGTAGCAGCGTGAGGTGGTCTAGCATCTCTGTACTGTCTGTCGGCGATCCTGTTGGTCAAAACAACAAAAGGGGCCAGATTGAGGACACCATGAATCCTTACAGCCGTAGCTACTGACTAGGCTTAGAAATGGGAGTGAAGCAGCATGGGACTCAAGCTACATCCAAGCTGTGGCACTTAGATGTAAGAAAAAATCGTTCTTACTGGGGACACTCGTCCACAGGACATCTGTACATAAGATAATGTCTGTACATAAGACACTACCCGTACCTTGGAAATAGTCCGTACCTTGGATACTGTCCGTACCTTGGACACAGTCCGTACCTTGGACCCTAAAAATATGAAACTCTTGTTTAAAACCAAGCAAGGTCTAATAAACAAAATAAACCTACCTCGAAATACTTCCGAGGGCTCAATAAATAATAAACAACATGTCCTTTCTTCCATGTGACATTCTGGAGGACAAAAGAAAAGGGACGCCAACGTGCCAGCAAAACACAAATACAAGTTGGGACATCCGTAACTCTACCCTAAAAATATTCAATAATAATATCGAATCTATAAGGATAATATTTCATCTTTACCTGTTGCTTTGAAATAGCAGCTGATTCAGATTATACAGCAAGATTTAAATAATCACCATTTCTAAAAGCTGGGATACAACAGAGCGTCAAAACAAAGTGAGGTTAAGCACGGAGAGTTGACAGAAGCGATGTTGACAGCGCGCGCCTCCACAGAATAGTAACAGTGTTGTGTCGAACGATAACAGGGTTGGCGACCAGGGAACGTAAAAATTACGCGTCAAATAAACTATCCGGCCTGAACGAGAGGGAATCCGGTGATGATAAGCCCAGACATCATATATTATATATAAAAAAGACATGTAACGAACTAAAAACGTTACAATACAAACTAAACCTAAAAAATTATGCGCCATTAAAATTTTTTATATTTTCAACAATTAATTTTAGAATAAATCGTTACTTTCAAGGTTCTAACCTAACTTTTTTTCAGCTAACTTCCTTGGTACACTTTTAAAATTCTTAATTAGTTAATTTAACTTGTGGTACAAATTAGTTTTCTTTGCTTATTATTTGTAAAAGTTTTGTGTTTTGGGATTGTGAGTGGTTATTATAGAGGACTTTTTGTTTTATTGCACATAATGGACACGTTTAAGATTGTCTCGGTAATAAAAAAGAAACGCATTGAATATTCTTTCGTTCCCCACCAGTGGGAACAAGGTAATGTGCTATGACGTAATAATCCTTCGAAAACTATTTTAAACGGAAATCACCCCGAGGAAATTAAAAAAGGTAATTTTTAACCTGCCGTATGTCTGACTTTCTTCCAAGTCAAAAAACTAAGTTACCTTTGAAGCATAACAGCGACTTATGAGGTAGAAATAAATTAAATTTTCAACCTAATTTGAACTTCCCCAAATCAGGTCCCATTAAAAGTTATTAACAACTACATTTTAAGCTAACTTGAAAACCAAACAATGCCTTCGACCCCCGAGACAAATTTGAGGTTATAATAAAGTAACATTTGACCTACTTTAAGTCCCTGAAGTCTTAATGTCCTCAATAGGTTATCAGTAACTAGATTTTAACAATGCCAGCTAACTCCAACGTTGCTACTTTTCAAAGACATAATTTTAGGTTATTATTAACTAGTTTACGACCTCATTTTTAGATTTCTCGCACTTTATTCCCTACAAGAAATTTATTAAGTTAAATATAAGTAAAATTCAACCAAATAGTGGTTAATTTTCCGTGGTCAATGGTTTTTTCTCCTTCCTATGCTACTTGGGAAATTATTAACCAGGCAGAGGCGGCTACAGCACAAATACTGCCAGAAAAGTCTCGTGGCGTATATGATAGGGAATTCATAACACACTAGATTGTTATAACTGTACAAAAACTCACGCGTGTGTTATTATTCATTTTATATGCATGTATGCATTTAAGTAATGTCTGTATAAATAGTGGCTGTTGGATAAAATATATAATTCTAATGAAAATTAATTTGTTAATTACTAACTTAATTTTAATTAATTATTTATTACTAAAGTTATAATAATTATTTAATAACACAAACATTCGATACGCCCCTGAATCAGGTAAAGAAATTGGCGTATCTAAATTCTTTTACATCTAATCTTTGACAAGTAGTAAATAAAAGTAAAAATGCAAACAAATATATAACTAGTTAATTTTAAGCGAATTTCTTAAATGATCGGTTAATTACACCTATGTTTATTATAGTTACTTACCAGTGAAAAGTTATTCCATTATTTCCCTCGATTTTTGACCGAGATGTACCGCACGCTACACAACTCTTTTACAGTCTTTTTCGATATATCGCAATAGTGTCACTGTTAATTTAAGTTCTGCCACAATTTCCTTCTAGATTTACTATCTTTAAACTACTAATATTTGTAGAATAACTAATAAATAACATAAAATAAGCTCAGTAAAGACTGACCAATCCACAAAATTTCAAATCAAATTAAAATGCGTCAAATGAATCGTCAAACAGAACTGGCAAGGATCCCCACTCTAGGGCCCCTCCTCTGACTACCATACATGAATACATGGATAGCATTATACTCCTTCCTTAACATTATTTTCCGGACTGAAATAAAGTATGTAAAGGTGTTTTGTACGATACAGTATGAAGTAAATTATTATTTAAATATTGTGTATTATATTTTTGGTTTATTATCTTCAAAATACTAAAATGTATAACATAATATGGTTAAAACAAAGAAAATGGTGTATATTCTTGCAAACTATGTAAATCACGCTACACACACGTCCACACCCAGTATATATACCTGAGCACAACAACCTGTTTTTTCAATCGTGGTTATTTCAGCTTCGGACAACGCTTCTTGGCCGTACGTGGACGAAATCGGAGCGTCCGTGCTTAAAAACCCCCTAGTGGACGGCGGCCATCTCGATTTGCACGCCGGCTACGATCATATTAACGTAAACATCCTAAAGAACGACAAAAGTAAGAGCGAGCGGCACAAGGTCCACTACACCTACCCCGAGGAGGAGGATGCGGTGCAGGTCGTGGAAACGTCGCACCAATCGGGCTACTCAAGTAGGTATTTCTATGTGTCGTGATGTATTATTTGTGTGAAGCAGTGTATATTTTGATGGTTTGGATAGATGAAACATTACAAATTTAATAAAGTTGTTATTTAGGAAAAGTTTACTATTTTAGAAATCATGGTTAATTTTTTATAATTATCGTTTAAAGGAGCTTCATTTGGAGTAAATTAGTGGTTTCAATTAGCGTAGAAGTTTGTTCGTCCAATTTCAATGTAAGCTAAATTCAGAAGAAAAAAATTCAGAACGTCAAAATTAGTAGTAATTTTCAGTTAGTAGAAAAAGTTACCAAACTTTTAATTTTTTTTTACTAATTATAGTTCAAAATTTGCAAATAATGTCACTTTGGCATTTGATTATCATATGTCAAGACAAATTGTAGTTAGAGATAAAACGTTTATTGTTTTATAAGCTAATTATTAAGCTTTCTCTACATACAACTGGCTACCTCAAGTTGTTGCTAGATTATTCTGTTATTTTTAGTTGCATTTTTTAGACATTGTATAATTTTTTTAGACATTGTGTAATCGTAAACTATTAAGATAAAGTATAATTTAAACCACTAATTTACTCAACTAATTTGGAGGTTCTGAATGAAGATTTAAAAAAATACTAGCTTCATCCGTTTAGAGAATTATTAATTGCGAAAATCTCTTCTAAGTGTTTACTTAAGGATATTTTGTGCAGTATTTCATACTTATAGGTCAGATAGTAAGCAATTTTCATACAACAAACTTTCCGTTACCATTTTATTCTCTAAGAGGATGAATTTCCTAAAATCGCACTGATATAAACTAATATCAAAGCTTTATATGTTTAAACTAACCTTTAAACCAGCTAAAACTCAATATATAATCCAACTGACACAACCCTGACAATGCTTCATAATTGATTCCTGTAGGTATTGTGTGGTAGGTGTTTCCCATGTTTTTTTTTTAATATTTTTTACATAAAGATATAAGGGTTAAATAACATAAAAAGTCTTCATAAACAATCTGGAAATATGTACCTTTCATTTTCAAAAAAGAATCATCGAAATTGGTGATGGATAGAACAAAAAATACCTTTGTATTTTACAGTAATATGAATTGCTATTTTTTTAAAGTTTATTGTTTCAAATGACAATCATTAATATGTATACAGAGTGTTTGATATGTATACATTTTTATGTAATATAACCGTAACTGTCAGATTTACCATTGAGATGAATTTGTATATCAATTTAATTTCCAAAATAAAATAAGATGCATTGTTTTGCTTCTCGTTAATTAGAAATTACTTGAATTTTTTTAATGATGCAATTGTAGTTAAGGCGTTCTTTCTTTAACATGGAAGTATTTGACTAATACTATTTTATTATCTATAATGTAAATCTGGTAATTAAAATTGTTGTAGGCAATATATAAATTTCTTCTAATATTTTTTTCCTTATCAAATATACCAGCATATTGTATTCATACTAAATAAATATTTTTATTTCTACATAATATAAAAATAAATTCATCTAAAAATAGTAAAAAAATACTTTTTTAAATTTGTATTATTTTTGCTTGTATTTTTTTAAGTTTTCATCCATCATTTTAGTCCAACGGATTTTTCATAATTTCATAAGATATGAGAGACACTTCTTTCTACTAAAAATTAATTTCAATAAAAAAATTATGATTAAATAAAGTTTACTCGGAAATATAATACAATTTTGTCTATTTGAAAAGAAGGTTGCTGTGCTTGGATATAACTTTTTAATACATATTGTAGTATTGGTAGTTTATGTTAGCAATTAATATGTAGCTATTATTAAGTAGAAGCTTTCAATTAAAACGACATATTAGTAGCAGAACGTTAATATTTAACCTAACTAAAATTTTATTTTTAAGGTATTATTGATTTTTTTTAATTTTTAGTTAAAAATAATGATTTATAGTATAAGCACTTCACATTAGCTGGTAATAATATATTAAATATTTTTTTCCTTAGAGATACATTACCTATTGAGATTTCCTTACTTTGAATTTTTATTTTAACTTCTTTATTAATAGTTACCAGTTATATAAAGAGAGATATATTAGATTTCTCAAAGCTACCAACTCAAAGCGAGTTATTTCTCTACCGAGGTATAAAATATTGTAGCCAAAGTTCTTTTTCTCTAGTTTCCGTTTATGTTTTATGACTCGCGCTCCCAAATAATTTATTTTACTGTTTTGGAGCCCAAACTGCAAATTGCTTCTTCTATAACATTTGTTGTTTTATGACAAACAATATAAGACTTCTTCAACTACAAATTTAATTTTAGTTACAAAGTTGCTATCCACAAATTTAATAAAAATATTACTTGAGGAAATACTACTTAAATATTTATAAAATAATTTTAGATGTTTTGCTGCTATACTGGGTGTTTCATATTCGGTTCTGATCATGTCGGAAAATTTAGGAGATACAGGGTAGCTTAAATGAGGAAAATGCATGTTTTTAAATAATGGTTTTAAAAAATAGTTCATATAATTACAAATTGAACAAAAAAAAAATCGTTGATATCGGTTAAGAAATGCCTCTAATATAAAATAATTAAATATTGTTAATTTAAATGGCCGGGCAAACGCTCTCTACCGCGCCTCGCCGCTGTGACGTAACCCGCCGTTCTTCTGGTTGAGTGGAGCCAGACGCGTGATTGTTTTACACAGTTTGCTTTTAAACAAAATTTTAGTTATTTGTGTTAATTAATACATAATTACTAATTAGTGATATTTATAAATAGTAATGGATGAGCGAAAACAGAAAAAAATGGTCCAAGGCCATGAGAAGAGATGAAAAGAAAAACGTTAAATTATCCTCTATTTTTACGATTTATTGTTGTGAAGATCATTTTGATGTAAGTTCGTATATTTATTTATATTGTCTATATTCATATTTATGTATATGAAATTTGAATGTACAGGGTTATTCATTATATTTTGACACCCACATACAGCCTTAACTGCAAGTTTTAGAAGAAAACATTAAATAAAAAAGTTGCATGGTTTTTCATATACTCTGTTTTAAAATTAATTCTAGTTATACAGGGTGTTTCAAAAAATGTGGTGCAGAAAATTGTAGGTATTTTTCGCTTTTCAACTGTCAATATTTCGTAAAGATTTGAAGATAGGTATAGGATATTATACATGAAATATATCTAAAATATCTAGAAATTTCCGAAGAATCCAAAAATATATAGGGTGTGTTACTTAAAAAAGTAACTTAATTTTGGCGTTTGCTTATAGGACATCTAGTATAATATTTTCATTACTGATAAACAATTTATTTCCTATAATTTCGTAAAAAAAACAATCTTTAAAAATAACAAGGGTATGGGGGTGTCAATATATAAAAAAAATCTTTTTCAGGCTGGAGTTATTTACTCAGGAGTTATTTTTCCACGTACTAAACAAATATTTTTGTCTCTTTTCACTTCTACATAACCTACAGCATTATCTCCATCCGTCTCCCTACCTTATCTGAAAAATAAGTTTATAACATTAATTTATAACTATATAAAAGTTCGTAACAGTAGGTACCTTCTTATACTTAAATATGCCTCAGTACTACAAAGAATAAATGTTACATACTTCTCTGTTTTTTTCCTCGTAATTCAGCACCAATAAATTGGGAATTTGTATTTATAAAAGCAGCCAACATAAAAGCATCGACTTTTGGCAAGTTATCTGATTGTGCTTTTACAAACCCGGAATCTGTCATTACTTAAAAAAATTCTCAGAACACATACAAATAATAACTGCACAAAAAAGCATAAAAAGCTCCTTCAATCAACGCTAAAAGCAACAAAAATGTTTTAGTACGCCACCTAAATACGTACATAAACGGAACACGTCTGGCTGCTCTGGCCATCGCGCGTCGACGAGAACGGCGGGTGACGTCAGACCAATAGAATATCGTTTCAATTCGCGAGGCGTTCTTTGCGTTATCCATAGTATTTTAATCGTCCGTTTTATAAAATTGTGGTACTGTCCACTTAAAAACCTTTTTTAGAAAGTTTTTTTGAGATTGTCTTAAAACAAAAACCTGAAATTTACCACCCCGTATTACTCCTGTTTTTCTAGATCTCAATGATGAGTGTCAAATTTTGAAACACCCGGTATATAACGTAATATTGGACAAGAATATACTATTTATATGTTGATTGTAGAAATAGCAGATCAATAATTTAATAACACGAAACATACTCCTAGTATAATGAAATATTTATTGTCTTTGAAAGATTGATACTGAAGAGCGCAGTGTAAAGCAACATTTACGTTTTGCTGGATTTAGAATTGAATAGATTCTGCGATTAATTAGTTAAGCATAGTTAAATTAATTAATGTAGTTATCAGTATTACACATAGCAATACAAGAAAAATCAAATGTATATAATGTGCAAAATTAAGTTAGAATTTACTTTAATTTTTTCTATAAAATATGTGGGAAATAACTACGCACATTTTAGAAATATTTTTATCAGTATACAGAATAATTCAAAACATCATTCAAACTAATGATCAGCCTTGATGAAAAAGTGGTTTTTAAATTTCTTTGTATTCCAGGGTTATCGATATCAGGTGTTTTCAAGCCAAAAAACAATATTTTGTTTCAATTTTTAATTTAAAAAGAGGTTAAAAAGTAAATTAATTTAGCTACAGATTACTTGAGAAATAGTCAAAATCGGACATCTAGAACGAAATATATGGAACTTTTAAATAATGGAAATTTTAAGTTCTTTCGTCTTACTTGGATAAAAAAATAGCCCAAACAAACTAAACGTCCAAGCACGCATTTTTTGTAAAGAAAAAACAGGCAAGAAGAGACTTAAAATGTAATCTAAGCTAAAATTGCAAGGTCTTACCTTGCATATTATAAACAATAATTATTGTAGTGTTGCCAAATAGATTTTTTTAATTCTAAGTATTGTTATTCTGAGTTTTTGATACAGAACCAAATAAACATTACACATCAGTAGACTAAAAATATATAATAAAAAAATACCCTTATAGGATTTTTTGGAGAGCTGAATCCGCCACATAGCCGTAGGTATAGATATTTTTTAAAATTTATAGTTTGTATCAAATAAATTTTTAGTCACCTGAATAGGGTAGACCGGCACAGCGTTACCCACTTCTACATATTTTCTTTTAATTAAAATATTTTAGGAAATAAAAATAAATTAATTATAAATATATAAACAGTTATTATTTATATTAACAAAACTCACCTTCTTAACAGCACTTAAGGGATATAAAGGGCCATTACTACTTCTTTCCCGTTCAAAATATTCTAATAAAGTAGCGATGAGTTTTTTACGGCTATTAAACTATCTTGTACACTTCGCACTAAAAGCGGATCTAAAAAGGACAATATTTGACTGCTAGTAAAAGCGGTCAACGTATTTACTTATTATACAAAACTGCTTCTTATTTCCGGTAGTGGGTATCAATCAAAAATAAACCTGAACGTTAATCTAAATTTCAAATTTCGTATTTTCACCAACTAGATTATTAGAGCATAATAGATTTTATAAGCGGAAAAATATTTTTTTTCCTCAAAAAGTATTTTAATATAGTATATCAATAATTAAATTTATGTAGGGGTGGGTGTACTTTTACCCTTTTCGTAATTTCTCTTGATTTTTGTAAAAGTCAAATGTTAAAGCACTTAGCAAAATATAGACACCCAACATCCCATTCAAATCGGAATAATGGTTCATAAAATATACGAAAAAATGTGATTATTTTTTTATGTTTGTATGTTTTTGTATACCGTGCTGGCAACTGTTTCTTTTGGATCGGTATTTGCATGTGTGGAAGTAAATCGCATAGGGATCTTATTAAGTCGGAGTGAGAGAAATGCGACTGTGTGCTGTTGCGGCGTTGCCGGTACGCTTTTCCCTATCAAGTACAGTAAAATCACGATGGCAAACCGCTTATTTTTAAAAAACTTTTTTTTCGAAAAGATAACTAGATAATATCATTAGATATGATTCTGAGCATCTGAAATGGAATTATAAGGATATCATTGGTGTCCATTTTTTTAATAACGAGAAAACGTCAGTAATCGCGATAATTTAAAAACTCAACATTTTAACACATAACACATCATAGCTTAAGAACCACTGTGGATATTGAAATTTTTTTTATTTTGAAGATCGGATCTTTTATAATATGTTTATAAAAAAAATGGATAAGGTTTTTTTTCCATTCAAAAATTTTAAACAACCCATCCATTTACTTTTAGTGAATAGTAATTTTCAGCAATCGTGTAACTTTTTATTTATAAAGATTTTCACATACTATCTGCGAACAAAATATAGCAGAAATGTTATCAAAGTTTTTGAAAAAACTACAATCAATTATTTCTAATAGATTTCGAGATATCTACTTACTTTTGAATTTAGAGTTCTAACAGCGCGACCACTGTCGAACACCAACTCAAGTCCACTTATTTTTACCAAAAATGCAAATGTTTCTAACTTGCACTTAAAAATTTTCAAGCTATAGGGAAAATTACGACTCGTTAATTAATAAACAAATAAGGTATCACGAGACATAATTAAATCGTGAAGCTGAAGGCATGATATACACCTTTCCCTAGAACCCTAAGTCTAAGTACTGACAGAGGTACTGATTGGGTCGACCCGGTTAACCGGTCGACTGCGACAAATCACTAAAAGCTGCAGCCTGACAGGTGAAAGTTGTGCCTGTATTCAAAACTGTCAAACAAAATTTGAGGTTAGGGATAACCCTATGGAGCTATAACCCTTAGGGATAACCATATGGAGCCTGATGGGCCACAATGTAGTGACAATGATATGGGCCATAAAGTAGTGACAAAAACCATACAAAAACATTAACATACACCCAGGCACAACTGTGGCCCATCAGGCTGCAGCCGCAAAACCCCCTTCCACGTCTCTTAGCAATGCGCACAGTTTCTCGGTTTATTTCATACGTTTGGCAACTTGTTTACTGTTCTCTCTTTGTTCAGTATATTATAAACGCATACTCTTCTTACATACGGAAATTTCGACCCAAGACCCCTTTGCCAGCCCTTAGTAGAAGTTAATTGTGTCCAATTGAACTTATTTTGATTCCAAAAATACGTAGCAGTTCTATGTCCACGGAATATTGGGACACCCTGTATTCTAAAACTTTACGATTTCACGCCCATAACCTTACCACAAACAAACAATGCTAGGTGTGTGTCCTTCACAAACTCATATATTCCAGTAGATAACATTTTAACTGACCCGATATCATACATCTTTCTGTAGCTACCGTCCACGGTTAACTAGAGATATAACTGGATTACTGCGGGCCGGAACTCAGTTGAGTAATTCGCTGATATTCCGGATGTGGCAGACGGTTGCTTTAATTCGTCGGTTTACGACTCTCTCTGTACGCAGATTATACGAATCATAATAGATATTCTAGAACGTATTGTACCGGAGCCGTGTTCCAACCTCAGAGAAACAATATAAACATACTTTACTGTGCAAAACGATGGTGATCATAATTTACAAACGAGATGGGCACAGAAAAATGCTAGGTTGTGCTATTTTTTAACTCAAGATCTTGATTAACAAAAATCGTTTCATTTTTTTTCATTTTTGAAAAATAAACTATGCTCTTTCAAAATCATAAAACTTGAAGGTATAATGGTTTACCTTTTAACTTTATTAAGTTTCGATAATTCTTTTTTGTAAACAGTTCTAAGTGAATTAATATTTTTTGTTACTGTAGTCCTAGTCACTTTAGGGTCTACACCCTTGACCTGTCACTGTATTCTTTTAATTTTAGTCGCCATAAGCAAGGGAATCTTTTGTAAAATTCAATGAACAACTCACTGAGAAACTAATGTGACTGTTGCCGTAGGTCAGACATTATTTGTATTTGATTAGCAGATGATCTGCACACACTACGACTTGTCTGTGCAAACCTCTACGTATGTTTTTAAGTAGTACATGTAGAGGACGTTTTTGTCTGTCCATTGTACGACTCACCGCACTCGCAAGGTACCTGGTAGATGCACTCTTTTACTTGTTTTGATGATTCCGGTTTTGATTTTGTTAGGACACTTCTAAGAGTAGTAGCAGACTTAAAAACAGTCTTAATTTTATACTGATAGACTATTCGCCTGATCTGTTCCGATGTTTCTTTCACATATGGAATCGTCAAGTGTTTGTGAGAGAGAGAGAGAGAGAGAGAGAGAGCATCCTTCTCAGGCTGGCGCACCAATAAGTCAGACTTGCATGATTGGACTTCCCAACTAGCATTTACAGTGGCAGATACATAACTGCCAACTACAAAAACCACTACTAAGTGGGCAGTGACCATCGGTGGCTACGTCGTATATTCGTAGCTGCTAAGTAACTGCGACCAAAATGGGGAAAGATTTTGAGTAGCCGGGTAGTGTCTTGGGTAGTTTTTGTCACTAAAAGATGATTTGCCACTATGATGTGTTACTAAAAAGTAGCCTACTGGTGAATGGGATTTATCTGTTACGAAGCTGCCTAGTCGCGGGTTCGTGGCAGCCAAGTGTTATCCACCGACATGTGGAACTTTCGTTAAACTGTTAAACTTCTGTTTCAGATGAACTAACACTACACTCATCTACAGAAACAGCTTCAAAAATGTCTCAGTTACTACCTGATTTATGATGTTCACCAGTAGGATTATAGAAAGATGTAGTTTTTGTTTCTAATGTTGCATCGGCTCGCAGTGATTATTTTTGTTTAATTCTTCGGTAGAAAGTACTAGAATACCAAAATTTCTTTTTATTCGCCTTAGGCAGTTTACAAAATTTTAATAAAGCTTAAAAACAAGTAAAAGAAAACACTAAAAGAGAGCAGTACATGATGCAATCTGAGGCAATTACATTTATTAGGGTATATTAAGTTACGGTCACTATAAAGTAGCCATTTTTGACCCCGTGACTTTTTAGTGGCAATGGATGAGCGACGGCTACTTTATGACCTAGACAGGTAGCAGTAACCATTTTGCTACTTTCAATGCTACTATAAATTAGAAGTAACTAGGTGTCGTGGCCGCGACTACCCCGTAACTTAAATTGTTACTATAAAGTAACAAAAACTTAATGGTGGCATTATGGTAGCAGTTGTTAGTAACCCCTACTTTGAAAAGTTACTATAAAGATTTTGGTCTTTTATGGTGTCATATTCGGAGATTCGGGTAGTTCCAGCCACTTCTTTAAATTACATGTTTGCGACTTGTAATCGGGGTGTTTATTTTCCACTTTTATGATAGGCAGGCACTAACCGGTCACTCTCGAAATATACTTGAAAGTGACTATTCCTTATAGAGTAACATTTTAAGTGGAAGAGTGGACCTAGGAACTATACTTTAGAGACAGTGACATTTTAAAGAGGACTGGGAACTATATTTGCTAGTTGGGTTTATGTTGAAAAAATCCACGACCATATTATATCCAATATTCTTTTAGTTTCATTATCTGCAACGTCTTGTAGACGCAAGCAAATCGTACGATGAGTTGTTCCATCTGAACAGCGCCTTATATGTAAACCGGGCTAAGAAGACGGATGGACCATCTTTAGAACTACGATCAGTTTTCTAGACGGTCTTCCATCTTACCCGGCCCTTTTAACTGACAGATAAAACGTTAGGTATAGACGAGACTTTAAACAAAACTGTCATTTCCTTCCAGGTAATTTTATCGAGCCCGAACGCGAAAAACTCGTGTTCCAGAGCACGTGTCACGTCGCCATGGACAGCTGCAACAACAATTACCATTGTCGGATGCTGCTCGCCCCGATTTTGCACCACTGCGACATCTCCCGGTGCAACCGGAACTCTTGCATGGAGGCGCTCCAGACTTTTTACGGCAAACAGGATTTCCATTGGAACGTCGAGATCGCTTTCTGTCTTTGCAAGTAAGTGACGGGTTTCGATTGTCTCATTCTTTTTTGTCTATTTTCTTCTTCATGAATTTTTAGTTTTAACTAAAAATGCCAGGAAACTACTCTAGAAAAAGACAATGCTATAGTAATCTACATATCTGGAAGTATCTCTCAGGACTGTCTGTGCAAGAGGAAAAACTTTTTTATTGGCTTTTTGCGAAAAATGGCTTTCTTTATATAGGGTTTTTCAAAAAACATGTGCCATTTCTCGTGTGGTGAATCCTCATGTAAAAATAAGATATGTTTTTCATAGGTCCGATTCTGCTTTGTTTCGTAGCTATAAAGGGTTAAAGACTTTATTTTTTTGCGATTTATTATAATATTCTTCAAAGTGCTTCTAGCGATTCGAATGAAATTTTGAGGGTTAAAGTTACTATAAGGTATGTAGTCCTTTAATGCTTAGGTCTTTAAAATCAACTAATAAAATTAATATCGTATCATCGTATCGTCGGACAACGGATGCATGAAAATCAAGCTTAATCCGTTTATACTTTTTCTAAAAAAAAATAATACACACCATAATTAAAAAAGAATAGTCTACTATTTCGATTACTAACTAAATCTCAACAGGATACTTAAAAATTTTGATTTTTGGATTTTGAGGTTCTATCGTTTAATTAAATCAAAGCAATTAATTTTGACGATTCTTCAATTTGTTTTTGACATCTTCAGATATCTATAAAAAAGTTTTTTTTTCAAACGTCACAAAAGTATTAATCATGTATTAATTTTTGCGACGTGGTTGACAATATAAAAAGTCATAGCATAAAAGTAAAGCACTTTTACGCCAAAACATAATGTATTTTTTAGATTGTATTCCCATAAATACAGATATTCTCAAAAAATTGCGTGATATTCTTAACAGCATTGTAATAAAAATGATGAAATATTATGATACCTGGTTTACTATACAGGGTGATCTGAATTATATTCCGTAAATTTCGGCAGCATATTCTGCAGATAAAAATAAGTAAAAAAGTTCCTGTAAAATGTATGTCCTAAAATGTTTACTTTCGGAGGTACAGGGTGTAGAAGTTTCATTTTTATTGCTTTGTTTTATTGTTTCCAAATAATTTTTGTAGTAACGTCAATATTTGGATGAAAATTGGTATCTGGGAGTTTTTTTGACATATGAAATTTGATTTTGAAGTCAATATGACTCCTATTTGGAGGAGACGCCGCTTACATGTGTTTTAACTGTTTTGAAGAGTAATAACTTTTCGTCCGTACCTGTATAAAACTACTGAGTGAAAAAATATACTTTTCCGTGATTTTCTACGTAAAAAATGTCTCTTGGTAAACATCACTATGAGCAACCGGTCTCAAGATATTTGTAATGGAAATAGTCAATACATGTCATTATGGATAAAAATAAACATGTTGAACAGATAGTTATTTGACCGAAACGATAAATTTGGGAATTTTTTATTTTTTAAATTAATCATAAATTTTCTTCAAATAAATTATAATAAAAAAGTTTCTGTTGAACTTTTGGCACAAAAACATTTCAAATTTATGATTTCAGTCTAATAACTATTTAGTCAACATGTTTAATTTATGTCCATGACAGGTATGACAGGTATGACAGGTATGACAGGTATGACAGGTATTGGTAATTTCGATTCTTAATATCTCGAGAACCATTAACTCCTACCGATTTTTACCTAGAGAGTTTTTTTTAAGAGAGATATTTTTTACTCATTTGTTTTATACAGGTACGGACGAAAAGTTGTAACTTTACAAACCAGTTAAAAAATATGTAGATGGCGCCCTCTACAAGTAGGAGTCATATTGACATCAAAATAAAATTTTTTAATGTCAAAAAAATACGAAACACCAGTTTTCATCCAAATATTGACATTATTTCAGGAATTATTTGGACAAAATCGAAATAAAAATGATATTTCAACACCCTGCATCTCCAAAACTAAGCATTTTAGGACATACATTTATACGAACTTTTTTACTTATTATTATCTACAGAATATGGTGCCGAAGTTTCCGGAATACAGTTTGTACCATCCTGTATAATAATAATAATATAATATTGGTATAATCCATAACATTCTTTATTAAAATAAACAATACCTTACTACAAAATCTACGAGAAACTTTCTTTAGTGTTAGTAAAGCGTACAATACTTCTATATTTTTCTTACTATTCAAACTGATCTAGAAACATGCAAACCTAGAAACTCCGGAAAAACTTCGGAGTTTAAAGTATCGGAGTAAAACTTGGAGAGTCGGCATAAGTTTATGCTTTAATACTTTCCAGTTTCGACATTTTATGCATCCATAAACGTCAAGGTATTATTTACAAACGTAAAATGTATGCAAATATGTTTAGGTAATAATTTTTCATGCGAAAATAATTAAATCTTTTTAGAGATTTTGTTTAAAAAAAATGAGGTGGATCACCCTTATCACTTAAGGATATAAAAAGTAGATAACAACCTATTCTCAGACCTAGTAAATATACATGTAAAATTTTGTTAAAATCGAAAAGAATTTAATACAGGGTGGTCCGAACTGTATTCCGGAAGCTTTGGCAGCATATTATGCAGATAGAAATAAGTAAAAAGTTCGTCTAAATGTATGCCCTAAAATGCTTAGTTTCGGAGATACAGGGTGTAGAAGTTTCATTTTTACTTCGATTTTTTCCAAATAATTTTCGAAGTAACGTCAATATTTGGATGAAAATTGGTGTCTGGGAGTTTTTTGACATAGGAAATTTGATTTTCATGTCAATATGATTCCTGATTGTAGAGGGCGCCACCTACATATTATTTAACAGGTTTGAAGGGTAATAACTTTTCGGCCGCACCTGTATAAAACTACTGGGTACAAAAATATACATTTGTGACATCTTCTACGTAAAAAGGGTCTCTCGGTAAAAATCGCTACGAGTAATGGTTCTTGAGATATTTGGAACCGAAATTATCAATACCTGTCATCGTTGACATAAATTACATGTTGACTAAATAGTTATTAGACTGATATAATTTTGAAATGTTTTGTGCCAAAAGTTCAACAGAAACTGTTTTATCGTCATTTTTTCGAAGAAAAATTTATTACCAATTTAAAAAAAAAATTCTAATATTTTATTTATTTTTCTATATTTTCACTAATATTCCCAAATTTATAATTTCATCTACTCAACATGTTGATTTTTGTTTTGTCAATAAAGACAAATGTTGACGATTTTCATTCTTAATATCTTAAGAACGGTTGCTCGTAGCGATTTTCATCAAGAGACATTTTTTACGTAGAAAATCACAGAAATGTATATTCTTTCATTAAGGGATTAATACAGGTACGGTCGAAAAGTTATTACTCTTCAAAACGGTTAAAACGCATATGTCAAAAAAGTCATAGACACTAATTTCCATCCAAATATTGAGTTTACTTCAGAAATTATTTGGAAAAAATCGAAATAAATGAAACTTCTACACTTTGTATCTCCGAATCTGAGCATTTTAGGCAGAGCATTTATACAAACTTTTTTACTTATTTTTACTTATTTTTATCTGCAGAATATGCTAGGTACCAAACTTTCCAGAATACAATTCAACCACCCTGTAAATTAGATTAATGAGAAAAAAGTCACAAAATATTTGTGCCGAAGTTTTGGTATAATGCGTGACAATTTAAAAGCACATCCTACATAACATAACAACTTTATAAACCGTTTTACTCATTATGAAACAATAAACACCCTCATTTTTCCTACCATACTCGTACCAAAGCTCTCTCCCAACACGGTTAATATTTAAAATAATTCCCCGGTAATGCGAATATCGTTAATAAAAAATGACGCACTTAATTTCGTCGCTGGCGAAAGCTCATTTCAAGCGCGCCTTTTAAAATAAACATACTTTGAGTTAAATAATAACGGAGCAGTAGTAGTCGCCATGTTCGTTTTACCTTGTCGGAAAATTGTAGCGGTCGATTTTCCCATGTCGGATGGGGCTAAGCGACGGAAACGACAAGATAATTCGCGACAGGCGTGAAAATGAGCCACGGTGCAGGTTGGTGAGGTGTGAGGAAAAGGTAATCCGTCGATTTGTCTCAAGGACGCCTCGCGAAATTTGAATTAGAGCTGGACAGGGTGTTCCGCAGTCGAGTTTCATTATGATCTTGGAAACAGAAGAGATACAAGGTCAGTTAAAGGGAAGCAAAGTTGTGCAATTTGATGCTGATCAAAATGCCACCTTGAAAATTTAAAAATTCCGAATACTTTAATAGTTATTTGTGTACCAAGACCGTAAAGTTGATTAGGCGTAGCCGAGGCCAAGCGGATTTCAGGCGAGGACAAAAAAGATCATACGGCCGAGGTGCACACAAAATTTTTTAAGCCAGTGTCTTTTGAAGTAGGTAACAATTTTTTTTACAATTTTGTTTCTAAAAAAAGACGAAACTGGAAGATTAGATTCAAATTTTTATTAACCAAATGAAAAGTGTATTATTAAGTAACAAAGATGTGTGCAGAATTACTTACAGAATTTTAAACAGAAGTTTGGGTTATAAAGAAGTTAATAAATTAGGGCATTATCTGCTATTAATTGTTATGTTAAATGTACATTTATTACATTTTCAAAAAGTAATACCACTTTTAGACATGACATTGTTAACAAACATTTCATTTTCTTGATTTTCAGTAATAATGGTTCTTGCTGTTCTTGCCGCTTTATAATTTGACAATCTTAATATCGGACGTTGAAATAACTCAAATAAGTAAATTAAATGTGTCTAGTAGGCTGCCCTCATAATGACTTTGTTTGCAAAAGCGGCCGTAAAGTAAAAAAGCGGCCAAAAAAAGATATACTTTAAGCGGCCCATACATTATCAAACAAATTGCGCAACGAGTTGCCAATGTATGCTAGTGTTTGATGCGTTGCGCAATTGTTTGATGAGTTTCAAGAATGTTTGAATTCTTTTGTGCAACAGGAATGTTTGCGCAACGCGTTGTGTAG